CAGCCTGTTTGACCTTGCAAACGTGCTTGATAGGATGGTCGCAAAACACTTACAGTTGGGCCTCCTACTTCACAGCCAAGTTCTGAAGCCACTCTATTAGCAACCTGACAAGAGGACGCAAGCTTCGCTAGTCAGCGCTGCATCTGTGCATTGTTGTGCTGTTCTTCTGCAAATAGACACATATCAGTACATATCTCTCTCATCTCTCGACCTTGGTGATGTTTCCATCTCTCGTTTTAGCATCTCTGCATCATTTTGCCGCTGGGGCCAACACAGAGATTGCTGCAATGCGGCGAGGCTGTGTAATTGAGATGCTTCCTGGTCGATTCGAGACATTCTCTTCATAAAGAAATCGAGGCACCTCAGCCGGCTCGACAACATCTCGGCAACCTACCTTCCATAATGTTCCATGAATGATACTTGTTGGACGTGCATGGATCATATTCTGTGCCGCTTCAATGTGCAAGTGTACATATTACATGTCATAAATTATCATAATATGGTGTAGTCGTTCAGCACAGAACTCACACTTTGCGATTTTCAACGATCAGGAGATTAACAGTTTGACATCAGCCAAGCAGTCCAAGCCCAACTGAATGCATTTCCTTCGGTGTGGTTTGGCGCCTGAGTTGTCTTCCCACTGCCAGTTTCACCAACGAGGACAACTACTCGGTGTTGCCGCACTGCTTTCACAATGTCCTGTCAACTTCATTCAAATTCTGCGCTCTTGAGTCTGCAGCACTTCATAGCCGTATTTCTGGCAGTCCTCTCGGTAAGAAAGAATTGGGAGGTCAGGCGTCTTGATGGCCTTGGTCAGTGAGAATTAACCTCTCTCTCTTTCTGTGTCCATATCTCCGGGCCATTTAAAAGCTCCCTGCATTTTTACAAATTCGTGCAGCACTGCCACGGTAGGATCGAGTCATATTGAGTCCACCATAGTCCACCACAGTATCCGTGCAGTCTTTGAGATTTCAGCAGGACGTGGCCGCTTCCACGGTCGCTCTGTAGAGTACATCTCAAGTGAAGTCTCACAGGTTCCGTGTGCCACGCCATGGCATTCAAAGGCTGAGATGCTTTGAGATGTCTGACATCGTTTGATATTGTTTCACCACTAATGCGCCATAGATAATATAGATATTGGTCAGTGTAGCTCAATATGGCTCGCGTCTTTTTCACTGAGTGTTAGCCCAGCGTTACAGTAGATTTTGGGGGTCAAGAGACACAAGTCACTGCATACCACCGCTGGTCAAACAAGGCTTTTCCACTCAAGGTTTCCTTTAAAATCATGCTGCACAAACGAATACAGAAACTTCTAGTAGCATTGCTACTATTGTCGAAAATCTATGAAAATCTTTCTTGATTCCCTGTGAACAAGGCGTCTGCGAGGACTTATTATAACCACTCTCACTTAAGGACCGTTCTTCAGGTTCAACCTTTCATCTTCACAAACACTACACTGGTTGAACATGTAGAAAACCGGATCAGCCCCCCAAGAAGTTGTTTATTTGTGCGCTATCCCGCGTTTTTTCCCGCGCAGCGTGACATCCACAGCTACACCTACAAGAAGTTGCTCAGTCGGGAAGGATGCTTTGCCTCAGCTTCGTAACACCACTGAGTTCTCTCATGAACTAAGAATTACGTGAGACGATGGTTCTATCAAATTTGCATACGATATCATACAATTTCAATCTGGTGCCTGGACCGAGATCGACCTGACGACCGTTGGTTCACCTGAGCTATACAATGTCTGCATCTGATTATTTTGCAATTGAGGCTGTAGAGTTTTCTGGAGATGTGTTGCTCACAAAGCTGGCGAAACATGTAGGGCTTTGCAGCCTTCGTCACTATCCCATCTGCTTAAAAATGGATAGATTCTTGGCTAACATCTCATGAATCTTTGAAATGTTGAGTGATTTGAAGAAATGAATTCAAATCCAGTCGGGCTGTCTGCCTGTCTGCTCTGTGGTCACTGGGAGACGGACTGAACCGGAGAATCGCCAGCATATTTTGTGAAAAGCCTTTCAGATCTTACACAAGATTTTGTCAAACACTGAGGAATATCATTACTCTACCATATGCAACCATGCTTTCCCAACGATCATATATATAGAGTCATGCTTTTACTAAGCAACGCCGGAGACACATGCGTTTCAACTCAATGTAATGCAACTTGCACCTGATTCTACAGGACCGAAGAGGTCCTGTGTTCCATCATATTCAGTGGTCGTAATGGACATCAAGACGAAGCATGGTGCTCACAGTCACTTCCACGCAACCCATAGGCAATGTTCACAGTGTTAATCCATGCTTGTTGGATCTTGTTGGAACGTTGGAATGGATTGTACGTTGGCGAAATGTGGCTATCTGATCAGCTATCTCAATGTCCTGAGGAAGTTTTGGAGCGTCTCGAAGGGCCAGATTGACCTCGCAAAAGGAAGAGTCACATGTACTAAGGTGGAATCTGCTGAATAAGCAATGAAGCTTTAAACTTTAAACACATAATAATAAGTAATTGTTCAAACAAAATACACTACAGTGTACACAATGTACAAAGTCAAGCACGAAGGGCATGGGTGGTACATGGGCAGAAGTCAGGGCTGATCTGTGTGCGGCATTGAATTGTGTGCCTGCGACATTTTTTGCCGACAGGCACCGTTCTCGCTCATTGCCTCCCACAAGCAACACTCATGAAGAAATGACATGGCATGATTTCAATCCAACAAGCACGCTTGTGCCTCACTTGCCATGGCCTCGATCTTCTGAAGAACCTGGGCACGGCGCTGTCAAAACATTTGTCGGAAAAGGCCATCCTGCTGTCAGTGACTCCTGCTGAGATGATCGTGCAGTGAATATGCCAAGCTTGAGAAAAATGCTTCCCCGCTCGGAGGCGGTGGTTCATCATCCAAATTCGGGACTGTGTACCTGGGTTGGGAAGGGAGAGGTATGACTAGCGGAGAAATGCACTGCACTTGATCTTGAAGCGGGAAGCGGGTTGCACGGATATAACATGATATAACTAGGTTCAAAGCGTTTTGGCCTCCAGCACCATTTCTTTGACTGGGTCATACTGAACCTGGCAGGTCGCATCCCTCAAGCAACCTTCCAAGAAAGATGAAACTGAAACGTCAAAGAACAAACAGTGATCCGATGGAGTCCCGTTGACATGGTCTCTCAGAGGTTCTTCTCGACTGACCAAATTCGCAGGCTCCGCATGTAGATGGATTCCAACATCACCCTTTCATCACAGACAGCGAGAAGATCACTTCACACTCTGCGGCATCTGGTGGTCGTTTTCTGCTTTCTGTTGCTCTGCCTGCTTAAAGACAGTCGGGTGCAATGGGTGCCGCAACTTTGTGCAGGGCCATCCATAGGCTGCCTCAACCTGGGTCATGAGTCTGTGACGCTTTGTAGGCCGGAGGACTCGAGCGAATTTATTGGCATGTCCTATCAATTCTGGAATTGACTGTTTATTCTTGATGAGCTATACCGCTGCTAGCTAGACAGCCTCACATAGTACTGAAAAATATCAGAAACTCCACTTTGATGCATCCTGAGGTCAACACAGGAGAGAGGCGCATAAATACAGACTTGACTACGGCTGCACAGTCAGCCCGCAGTTCCTACATTAGGATTTGGTTCAGAACGTCGGTTTCTCCACTGGTCCACAGGCAACTTGGTTATGAAATGGTTTGGATTACCTGAGAGTAAGGTCCAGGTGGTGACAAGTGAGGCATCACTTGCATGATACTACTCACCCAAATGAAAGATTGTGCCAGAGTACAGACAAACAGAAACTAGTAACAACTACAGGTTTTCAGTAAAATTATATTAAATTAGTAACTTGAGGATCTTGAGGTAAGGGATGGATTCAATTTGGCTGTGACTTCTGCTTGATTTCTGCTTGATCCCGGGCTGCGTTGCGATGTCAAACCGTTTGAGTCGATGGGAATCCAAAGACCTGCAGCACAAAATTGGCATGTGGTTTCTTGGGACCAAAGAAAATATGCTGCAGTAATATAGACCCAGCAATAAATTAACGCACTAAAGGGCATTAGTTAAACATATTATATGTCAAAGCAAGTTCACCTGGTTTCAATGAGAATGGTTTGACCAACAAAAAACTTTAAAACAGTCACGGATCGATCACGCATGGCACAATTATCGTTGCATGTCAAGACATTACGAATACAGAAAATATTCACACTGCCACACTGCTGCCCGTTGCAAGTGCTAACTGCCCTTCTGGAAACCAGTCATAGTTACCCTATGTTACCCTATTGTTTCCATTCTCAAACGTCCAAGAGCTTCCAAGAGCTCACCCTTCTTAACAAACCAAAGCAGTCACACCCGTTGAAGTTTCGCTGCGAATCAGCAGAGTAAAAACATGCACAGACCACATACCACTTTGGACCACGGACTGAGAATGACTCAGAGATCTGGTGCTATGATATGCTATATGCAGACATGATAATCTTATGAGTTATGATTTGCATTGATTTGCTATGTTAAGCAGCTGCTGGGCTTGTTTTTTGAGAAGCTGCGGTTGCACGCCATCTTTCGAAGCGCGCATGGCCATCACCAGTGAAACACGTGCCAAAGTGCTGTGAAACAGTGCGAATTCTGCGCTTGAACAGGCTTGAACAGTCAAAATAATGTGATAAGGATTGCTTGAAGAAGGCATGATCATGCATAATCTTCAGTCCTGCCAATATGTGGATTGGACTCTCAGTTTCTCATTGCAGACAGCCAAGAATATCTGGTTCCGTTTGTGGCTCTGGTTCCGTTTGTGGCTCTACCTTGGGACCGTAGTTGGTACATGCTCAATATATCTCAATGGCATTATGCAGTCATCGAGTGCTGCGCAAATCATATCCCTCGGGGTCTCACTCCTCTGGAGCCGGCGGTTCTTCCAAAGAACCCTGCGGCTCCTCAACCTCTCCGGGGTCCTTCAATGAAGGTGAAAGTCAGAGTTGCAGTGGTGAAAAGCAAGCAGCCCACAGTGACGTCGGGAAGGTATGCTATGCCATCTCCCCACCGGTTTGGTTCTGAGTGTATTTCTGAGACAGAGATTAGAATCATTGAGTACCAGTGCCTCTTCGCTAGATCAGTAGATCAGCTACAACTTTCTCCAAATGATGTCAACTTTGACCCTCCTCTGGCTCGTCTTGGACATCTGGAGGTGCCATGGGAAAGAAGTTGCTGCTCACGGCTCCGAGACCATAACCGACCTCACCGACCTCAAAAAGGGGCTCTGAGACCACGATTCCCAACTATACAAAATTATACTATTGTATAATATATTGTATAAATATGTATAAATCTGCGTTCTTGGATATAAATGGTTATAAATGCATATATGTAGAGAGAGAGAGAGAGAATGCCTTTATCGCATTTCTGCTCCAGTAGGGTCCGTGCATAAATATTCACAAACTGCCCATTGCGGATGGCACAGACCTCAGCAGGCTCCAAGTCACCAACCAGAGTGGCCAGAGATGGCCAGAGTGGGGTGAACCCCAGGGTGAACCCCAGGGTGAACCCCGTCCTCCGATGTCCTCCGTTCGTTTTTTTTAATCCCGTCCCTTGCACCCTTTTGTCTCTGGATGTCTCTGGTTTGATGTTTCAAGACGCGATACGGGAAGCAACTCTAAATATCCATCTCGACCAACTGACCACAGTGTATTGACACTTGTCGAGGAAGACATTTTGAGGGTATTGAAACTGATCCATGACAACACTTATATATTGGTCTAAAAATCACGCAAATGCATGCAAATGTCTGAAATGCTCCCTGGATAGTGTCACTGCTAAACCAGCTTGAAAAGTAAAGTGTAGAATCTGACAGAATCTGACCCATCTGAACAAGTGGTGAAGAATATTTAACGTTTCGAATCCAGAGACACTTATTCATGGATGGTGGATCGTGAAACCACGGCTAAGTGCGCTGCCGCACCAGGCCAAGAAAGTGAACGGACGTATACAACGGCGCTTGACCTAGCGTAGTCGCACATCAAGCAACCCGTAATCCGATCACTGCACATGTATGCACATGTTCAATCATTTGAATAAAGGTGAATCATCGTAAATCAATCCAATTGTGTCACAAAGACGTCACAAAGAGACGCATCAATGAAGATCAGGTAAAACGAACGAACGAGCCGTGGCTGAGACGTCCACCTCAAAGGAGCAGCCGGATCTGGTACAGACCGGTACATCGTTGGATCACCGGCCTGGACCAGATTGTCACGGCGAGGATTTCAGATGACTTTAGAAAGATCAAGCGATCAAACGCTCAAACACTCCACTGATTCTAGAACTTGCAGGATGACTTCTCCGAAATTTCTCTTGAATCAGCTGAGCCTGCTTGATGCTCCACTGCAAGTGATCTTCATGTAGGCCACGAATGATCTGCGGCAAGTCAAACAATTGATTTCTGAGGCTTTCAGTGTTTTGCTTCATTTCAGAATCGAAACCGAGATTTCTCCAAGCTACGTGATTCCAACATATTCCAACCCCAGCAAAGCTTGAATTCATGGCATGGAGATCAGTGCATCGTAGCACCTTTCTGGGGAAGCATTGTGACTCTGGAAGATGTCTCATGATGTCTCTCAACAATTCTCAACAGCTTGCCTCTGGAACTGGGTCCGCCGCTTGTTCCTGTGCATCAGTTGAACTGCAATATCTTTCACCATGTTTCATCTTTCACCAACACGGATTTTTGATGATTTTTGGCCATCAGATTTGTGCACTTGTAGGCCTGGTTTGCCGAATCTCATCCATTGTCCATGTTGTGTTGTTCACAGTGCAAGGTGTAGCCACCAATTCTAGACACATCCAGACACCAATTCTCTGGCCTCCCTCATCTTGTCAGCCAATGCAATTTCTTCGGGTGTGTCACCCTCCGGAATCTCTGGGTGGACAGTACGCCCACTAAGCAAGAGATGCGGCCTCATGCTGAAAATCGCTGAAGGATAGGAAGGATAGTTGAAAGTCCTGAAACGTAAGAAACCAACAATGTCGGATCATTAAGTTACCAGCTGCATGTGGGTCCATGCCTCGTGCAAGGGGAAAAAGAATATATTCGCAAAGCATCCGGCAAAGAAGTGAAACCAAGGACTCACCCAGAAAATCAATCTCAAAAATCAAGCCAAATCACAGAAAACAAACTACAACAGTCACACCGTTAGCTTCACACGGCTTCAGCTTTGCCTCCTTCTTCTGGAGTTCGGATGAAGGCGGGCAAACGAACTCCTCGTTCTGCTCAACTGGCGACTCCTCATCCTCCTGCGATGCTCATGCAAATCCATGCAAATCTATGGAAGTCCCCTGTAACCCTTTTGACTTGGCAGGAGACTGACCCAAAATGGAAACGCTGGAAAAACAAACGCGCTGAAAATAGATCAGGAGGCGAACGAAAAGCCAAACCTCTGTGCACTCTCTCAGGCTCTAGGAACTAGGAACCAAATGGGACAAAACAAGAAACACACGGGCCCACACACACACACACACAGAGAAACACATAGAACCACATAGAAACACATTGAAGCACATAGAAGCACATAGAAACACATAGAAACACATAGAAACACTAGATAAGTCCAGATGAGTCCAGATGAGTCTAGATGAGTCTAGAGACAGAAAAATAATGGGAGACATTCTCTCACTCTATGCGTACTGCGTCCAAGCCTTCTTCAAGAAGCCCTTTGGGCAAAGGACCGTGTCTGCAGCGATCCGGGCAATCTGTGCTCGGAGGTACACCTCAACTTCGAAACATTCAAAACGGATGGCTGTGGATGGCTGAACAATTTGTGCAATTTGTACAGTCCATCGCATGCCATGCACCTCTTCTTTCCCATCAAAGAAAGGATGTGTAATTACCTGCCAATGAGTATTCATTGCACGACCCGCTGCCATGCATTTACATTTTGTCAAATGCGTCGAAATTGACTTGAAGCAAGCTGTCCTTGGATCCTGCATTTCCTGTCAGCAGCCTCTTGATCGCCCGCGCTGCAACGATCTGCCCACGGTGTGCATTTCACGGGTGCCCCTCGATGCCATAATCTTTCAATATCTAGCAATGGAGGGCTCATCTGCCATCATGGATCATCACAAACTTAACTAGTTGTGAACAGCAACGCACGAGCACCAGCCTGATTTGGCTTTATGTCTGGAAGTTTGCGCCACTCTCCCGCCAAATCGTTGGTCACATAGTACGTGAATTGGTTTGCACCCTGACCTCAGAGTTCAAATGAGCAAATGTAATCAGCAGAAAGTATGCAAGAAATCAGAAACAGCCTGTACAATTACCCGCTACATGTCTATATATATATATATAAATATATTAATATATATATATATTATATATATAATATTATGCATGTGTATCCACACATTTCTGACCACAGTATGTCTATCGTGAGGATTCAATATGTATCTATATGATTCTATCTTATATAACTCATTATAACTCTATGTTTGCCCAGCGCCCATCGATTTGATCTCAACTCAGTTGCAGGCCAGGTTGATCTGCGTCAGGGTCTGGCTCATCTCCGCCACCATCTCGCTGTGCCTACACATGTGCAGCCTACCCTGAAGGCGGGCTTAACCTATGGGCCTATGGGGATGTCTCGAAATGAAGGTGCCCATGGGTGCCCCAAGATCCCTTTTTTTAATTGAAAATTGGAAGCATAGGGGCACCATGGGGCACCCGTATTTTGAGACATCCCCACAACGTAATGGTAATACAACTTCCGCATTGAATTTACCTGTGCCTCCGCAACATAGTAGTCCGCCTCTGTTCCCAGAACCTGGGGCTCTTTCAGTACAGCGAACCCTGGGACATCATTTCCTTCATTTTCCTTCCAAATGCCTGGCCTTGCCCCAGAATCTCAGCTTGTTCAGGCCATCTTTTTCCTTTGCAGCCAGATTCCGCAAAGAGCACATGACCTGCAATTCGCTGCAAGATCCCATTTGGATCCATTGGGCTGTGATACCTGCAATTTGTTGGATTCCTCTGATGTTTCTTTTGCACATGAAAACCATATCTATCCTTATCCGCAATATCCGCAATTACATTCAAGGAGCCTGGAACGATTCGGCCTGGCCAAGTCCAACTCCGGCCTTATCAGGCTACCAGTATGACAAACGGAACGTTCTCAGGATAGGTCTTCCAAATTGTTCTGAATTGTTCCGATGGCACGGTGCGACAAAGGGAAGCAAGGTAAGCATAGCGCCCACGACAGCATCTCTGCATCCTCTGTGAAGTCCGGGATTCTGCGAGGAACGGTGATGATCGACCAAACAACAGTTTGAAGACATCCACCCAGCAATCTGTTACTAAGTCTTAAGTCATGCCGATTCCTGCCAAAACTTCGTCGAAACATGTTGAAAGCAGCGGCTGTTGCAACGAACATCTGCTGCCAAGTTGACGCATGGTTTCTTGACATTCTGATCTCATCCACTAGCAAGCACTCTCTTTTGAACATCCAATCCAATCACTGTATTCTATCCAGCCGGCACATAGGCACTGCGCAAACGAGCATGAGGATCATAGTCATCCTCTTGTTGTCTGGATGAATATCTGTCTTACCGGTTCACGTGAGTCAAATCTGACAATTGTGATCCTCAGAATCAGTGATTGGTGAGACTCTAATCCCAGCCCAAATAAACTGCATTGGCCGTGAATTGCAGCAACCAAATCTTGTGCTTAGTTGCACCCGGTATCAAATCTTACGGTTCGCCTGTGTTGCTTTTGCTTGTTCACAAATGGCCACTGCATCCCATCTTCAGTCCTAATTTCGACCCTCACAACCCATCTTGATACCTGCTAGAAGCCACTCAAGGACTCTCAAGCAGAATCCATTGTAATGATTTGTAATCAATACAAACCAGTACAAACCTATATAGATGTTCCAACCTGCCCGGAGCCAAGAATGGATGTTGCGAAGCCTGGCTTCTGCGGCTCCAAAAGTCTAGTGGAAAATATGAAAAACACATGTCAAAAAACAAAGAAACCGCCAAGCAATTCCTGAAGCAAAGCTCATGTGGATCGGACCTCAGCAGCACCTGGTCTCTTTGCTGGATCCAGCCTAGCATAGGGCGCCAAGCCAGGCATGCAATGAAGTCTTGTTTGCAAAAGAAGTGTAAACACAGGCCGCATGTGACGAATAATTACACGATACTGCTAGGACGATAGGATAAAAGGGTACATAAGTTTCGGGCTGCAACAATTGCGACAGGAAGTCAAGGAAAAGCTCATCATCTGTTCCTTAGGTGGGGTTCGAACATACAATATGAGATAATATGAGCTTCCAGTATAGCGCAGGGATTAAACTGAGCCGGACAGGTCGAACAGGAACATTGAGAATGATGCGCATGCGCTGGCGAAGTGACGTCTTCTTTGGCACCTGCATGAGATGTTCGGGTCCAAACTGGACGTTTTCGCATGGAGTAGACATGTGTGATGACATGTATGAGGCGTTGTGACGCCCTTGTTGCTGGACTGAGCTCAAAAGGAGGGCACCAGCAAATGCAAGCGACGTCCGCGTTCTGGGCAAGGCTGCCCCTCAATTTCTTGGTACAACTGCCCGTCCTCCAAGCTTTGCAAGTTTAGATTGATGAAAGTATTTGCAAACATAAAATATCAGGAGTACTTGGCAGACCAAGACAGTCCTGAGTGAAATACTGCGGGACATATTTTCCGCTTGTCATCAAATGATACCTGGACAAACCATGACAAAAACGAGATATAAGTCAGAGCAAAGAGTAGGTACAGTGACATACAGCAACTACACAAGGAAAATGCAAAGTTTGCTCCATCGGCCGCAGCTCGACAGCTTGGCTGGTCCGAGGCTGAAACGGAAAGTCACCAACAATGCCCAGAATTCGAGCCAGCAAGCTTTGCACCTTACAAGATTTTACAAACTCTTACAAACTCTTACAATAGACTGGCCATGAATGGCCCACAATATAGCACAACGTAATTTGCAAATAAGCTGAAATGCCCATCGAAGGAAAGCGTTTGTCGCTCAGGTTGCAGCTGAATCATTTTGAAAGAGGACATAGCCTGCATCACGACATGAGGATGATGAGGTGATGTCATGAGGCTTACCAAGGCTTGGGTCTTCCCAAATACTAACAACAATGGCCTGTCCAAAGTTCTGCAATGATACAGCCCAAGGACCAAAGGTCAATCTTCTGGTCGTACGGAAGACCCAGCATCACCTGAAGCTTAAACCACTGGTGTTTCTTGCATGTGGTTCATAAGATTGCAGGACTTTGAAATGTCTGATTTGACTTTGCCCTTGATACATATATGTACGTATATTATATATATATATAATCCATCTATGCTAAATCTATGCTAAATACATCTAAATACACTGCTGGATTCTTGGTCTGAGAAAGTGTCCTATCAAGATCCACAGGGCGCACCTCCGGTGCACGGTATGACCTTGATTGCACGTACGAAGAGAGGTGGTCGTCCACGAAGCAAGAAGAGCCAAAGTCTATGACCTGTGTTCAATACGTATTGTCAAAGTGCGTTCAATGAGAATCAAAGAGACAGATAGAACATGATCAAACAACCCTTCATTGTCGTACTAGCATGTAGCAACCAGCTCAATAGTACGCTGTGATGCTGTAATATGCTACTGTAATCATGAATCTGCTGTTCTCAAGAACACGCATGACCGCATGACTAGCAAAACTCGACACGTCAGGACGTCAGGTGTCAGTTTGGTAGGCCTTGACCTCACACCTGCTGTACGACTTGATCAAAATGTTCTCCTCAAAGGTGCTGTGCAGAATTTTGGAGGTTCTTCAATTTCTTCAGGAGAAGAAAAAAACATCAATCCACATCAATCCACATCAATCCACATCGATCCACATCAATCCACATCAATCCACATCCAAAAACTGGGGCTCTGGCTGGCTTTAGGTCACAATGTATGAGTCGCAAAGAATGAACGTACTCCAGAGCGGTCAAAATCTGCCACGGTTGCCATCGAGCTTTGTTTTTTCTGAAAAGACGCACATTGCATCACAGCACAATCCAAAACGTCAAATCGAGCACCAAGAAGGAATACAATTGTCACGTCACGTCGTGTACAGTGACCGGACCGTACATTGCGCGGCGTGTCTACCTTTGGCTAAAGAAAAGCATTCAAGAACATGTAGCTCAAGGCTCAAGGAAAAGGCGCAACGCAGTAGGAAATTGGCGGCCTGTGAAAATGTCACAAAAAGCTCTTTAGGCATTCCAAATGCGCGCTCAAATGACCAAAACGTGCATGTATCTATGACGCGCGGCACGGTCTCTTGAACTTGAATGCCTAGGCGAGACCACACTCGCCCCTTTTTGAAATGCATCGAAATATGCCGAATAAGACTAAATAATCTACAGTAGCATTCCCTGACATATCTGCTACTGGTACTGGTGATGCATCAGAATGTACGAGGATAAACTCAAACACCGCGAACAAAAACAAGCAAGACAAAGGTGCGTAAAAAAAAACAACATAACGAAAAGATTGAAGAGCTAGTCGCAGCGGAATGAACAAAATCAACCAAAACCATTCAGACAAGCAGCTGGCACCACTTTTTTCTGTGACTTTTCCTTCTGCGTGGAATCCCAAACGCAAAATGGCTGTTCATTGTTTATCAGCATCATTCAGCATCTGATTTTTCTGATTCATCGTCTGATGCCAGATCTCCTAACAGGTGGTTCTGCAGATCACGCTGTGCACAGGCCTTTCCTTCCTCTGCAAGCAAAGCTGAAGCTGCAGCACGCTTCTCTGCATCAGCTGCTTCTGCTGTCAGATGGACAGTTTTGCCAAGACCTTTGTGTGCACTGACAGCTGAGTGCTCAGCTTCCTTTCCTGTGCCATGTAAGAGCTCCTCTTCAGAATGTCCTTTGCTTCCTGACTTTCCATTTCCTTCTGTCATGTTTTGGGCATCAGTGGCATCGCACTTGCGCCTTTTCTCTGGCTCCATGGCCTCGTGCTGCACTTCTTCCTCGAGCGATGCCATGAATTTGTCCAAGGGATCAACGTCGTCGTCCTCCTCGTCGTCCTCCTGGTTTCCCGCGGCCAATTTTTGCTGCAGTTCTTCATTGCTCTTTGCGTGTTGCAAACTCTGCTGGATCAATGTGCTGAGTTTTGCTAGGGGCGAAGCTGCGTGTAGGTCTGCCACATGAACAAACTGTTTGCCTTGAAGCAGGCAAAAGCAATGCATCCCACGGAGGTGGCAAAGCAAATCAACAAAATGCATTGCAGATTCTTGTGCGCTGCGCTTTGGGCGTGACTTTACATGCCAGAAACGGCTGCGTGGGATGCCCTCCTTTCTGTCCAAGTGTTCACAAGTTCGCTGTGCATGTTCAATCAAAGTGTTGAGGTGGTCAAGGCTAGCCATCCCAGGAGCACCCAAGTTTGGCGCAATCTCTGTGTACAAAGCGTTCAGAGCAGCAGAGCGAAACTCTAAGAACGTCTGGATGTCGGCCAAGCTTTTGGACTCCCACCAGTGAGTTCGACCCGCCGAGGCAGTCCCTGACTTTGAATCCCAAGTGAGGTCAAAGCCCGAGTCCATGGCACAAAGGGCATCATATCCACGTGAGGCTCGATTGAAGGCTTGCTGCGCGCGGCCATCCATACATTTCTCTGGGTGAATTTGCTTCACAAGGCTTGTGTACCTCAGCAGCGATTCCACTGGAGATGGTCGCTGTGAGGAATCAGCACCAAGCAGAGCACCCGACGGATGCCTGGCGTCCAAAATGCGGCCCAGAGCATCTTCTTTGTCGCCGGGTTGAAGCACTGGGCCCATAGCCCCCATGGCCCCCGTGGCACTCAGCATGGTTCCAAGACCAAAGCATCGGCCAACATCTACCAAATACCGATACGAGATGATACGAGCCTATCAATATCATTCCATATCTACTGTATCTATCATATCAATTCATATCATGTATATAAATATATATATATTATTAAATTATATATATAGCCATATTTATATAGTATAAAAATATATAAACATGATGTGAACTTGGTGGGCAAAAGCAACTCTGAGTTGACCTCAGCTAATCTGTACGGAAAACCAACGACCGATAGTCCATAACTCATTCAGCTTCGGGTAATCCGCTATCTTGTTTGCAGGGCAACTCATGCTGTCACATGTGAGGCATGACGATCACATGCTATATGGTTGCCTACAAAACTTGGGCCTGGGCTGCGTGAATCAATGGGATCAAGATGACTTCAAAATGGAAGAGCAATGGGCAAGGATGTGCTCGAATTTATCTTGAGCTGTGTCTGTCAAGGCATCTGTGTCACTCTTTGCCTGCTTTGAGATCTTTTGTAGGCGACCCATAGTAAAATAAGGTTCGTCGCCTCAAGCTAACATCTGGTCAAAGCAGATCTTGCACATACGTTTTATCAAAGTTCCTGTGCCAGAGCTGGCGGGTGTGGAGACCTAGACTGTCCTTTCATTGTCGAACACGTTCCCTCTTCTCACAGCAGTTTTGTCGGGCAAAATCTCTCTGTCTGCATCCAAGGTGCCACATTCTCTGTTGTATTTGCTAAATTCATACAAATTGTCGCGGAGCAGTTCGGTCACAATAATCAAATGCTCCTCAGAGTCAGGGCAAGTAGAAAAACACGATCGCTGGTGATCAATCTCTATAAAATATATATTATATATATATATATACACATGCGCTTTATCTTTCAATGAATAGATGTATAAGGTTTTACCCCATAATTGCGCCGTGCCTAAAACAAGTTCCTGCCTGTTTTCAAACAGGTTTTGACTTTCCGGTCAAAGCGGTCCTTGTGATAGAAGTGGTCATAGAGGCCTTAATCATTTGAAGACATGCGGCAACACAAATTTACTGTCTTGCTTGCTGAATCATTGGTTCAATGCTCTGCTGGGCCTTTGGCGCAAAACATGGTTGTGATCAACGTTGCCATTTACATTGATGTACTTCAAGAGCTTGATTTCGTCCAGTGATTGATCAAAAAAGTCCTCGACATCAGCTGCAGGTATATTAATCCAGAGGGACCCAGGAGAAAAAAACAGCTTGAGAATGTATGCTACTCAGGTCCACTACAAAATCACACGGCTTGTGTCTGTGCGAACCCTCCAAACAAGATAAATAAGCTATTTGAACATAAATGATTATCTTGCAACTTCCCGGGTGGGCTCTCATGTGATCTTGCCACTGTGAGACGGTTTGGAAGTTTTAGAGGCGCAACTTTTTATTGGAATGCTTGCTTGACAGAACCTGCTGTTTCAGTGTGAAACAAGATTTGCTGCATGTGGTTCACAAGTGCATTTGCTGGCAGCTGCACCACAGCGTGCCCCAGGGCCGAGACCAATTGCCGGTTCGCCCGATTATGTTCATTGAATGTTCATTAAGCTCCTACCCTCCCTATTTTCCTTGCAGAAAAGCGATGCAATGGTCGGGTTGGAGCTTGAGGATGCTTCAGGTACGCACGTTTGGCACACGTAGCATAAGAACTGAACAGCTGCACCAAAAGCAAATCCTGCACTATTGGTATAATTACTCGGACTCATGGATGTGGATGCATATAATTGTATATACATACACGACTATAAGTATTATATGTTGAGCTATATTATATGTATACCTTTGTGTACATACAAATATAATATTGCCACACAGTTCCAGCACCGACCGTGGGTGGGAAAAGTTGCAAAATGTGCATACAATATGATACAATATGATACAATGTTTGTGACCACAGGCTAAAGGGTGAAAAGGAATGCTGCGTCTAGCCAAGGCCGGTGAAGGTAGAACAGAACATGGCAAGGGTGGCGACAAGTGCTTCCGTTGCATGTACAGCAGAAGGGAGCAAGTTTGACAACTTGGCCATTGTTGACTGGACCATGAAAGAACTGGCTGCTCTGGTCGCTGCCTTGTCATTCTTGATGATCTTCATGCAAACCATCTTGTTAGTGTCCAAGTCCAAACACTGCACCTCTGAAGACAGTCCGCGTGAGGAATGCCAAAATCTAGTCGAGTTCGGAGCACAAACTTAAGCGCAGGACAGCTCGAGAAAACGCGGCGGAACCGAGATATTCAATGATCTGATACCTTTCAACGGCTCTCCATTGATCTGAGATATCTATAGATATCTGAGTTGTAGCAAATGCAATCTTCCGATTTGCATCACAGCTTTCGATCCTTGAACCAAAGCTTGCCTCGCAGCAACCACCGTGTTTGTGCGGATTGGAAATTCCTGAGTAAATTCAAACTGTCTCAAAATACATCGACACATCCAGCAACTCTCAAGCACTTCTGAAGTCAACTGCAGCAATGTTTATATATGGTCATCGTTACAGTCAAGGAAGCGACCTTGCTCTCTTCAAAGCCCGTCTTGTCCCTTTCGAAGACAACCCGCAGATTGAAGGAGTCGAAGATCTGAGATCTTTGCAGCGAAAAAAGTCTGAACACCCTGATGAATCCTGATGACAGAAAGACACACCATGTCAAAAAGATTGTTGTTCAAATTTTAGACTGCCCGCACACATTGTCAGGATCTACGGATTGATGGAGGATTTGGGGGCAGAATTGATAGAATTGTTTGCCAGGGCACGGCCCCGTTCAACTCAACGGGGTAGAAGTTATCTCCAGATGGGGCGTACCTCACAGCTGAACCATGCTGAAGCCACTCCCTCCAGGGATGTCCAGGAACTGATCACTGAGCACTTTTTCCAGATCCCTTAGATCTCTTTCTCAACCTTTCTTCTTGCATCAGGCTCATCTGACTCCGACAATCAAGACCATTGTTGTTGCGTATTAGCAACAACTCCAATGGCTGGGCTACTGTGAAACAACTTCAGGAGTCAAATTCCAACAGCAAATGAGACGGGCAGTAGATGCTAAACTCGATTGACCTCGTCTCGCATGCTACTCATTTACTGACACTTTACATCAACTTACTGACTTGTGAATGTTGAACGCATGTTGAATACAAATTCCTTGGAGTGTCTGTGGCCCGGTCGGATCTTGCACGAGTATTCGTGGCACATGCCTTGAACAGAGAAAACAGCTTGACAGGGGATTGCAGCATCATGCAGCTTTGCAGGCTTGAAGAATCTCGAAGAGAACGCAAACATAAAGTATCCAAAAACAACAAAAATTGGAAAAATATTGGAAAAATATTGGAAAAATATTGGAAAAATGTGTGAATATGTCCGAAAATCGAAATCCCGTGCAGCTTCGAGGCTCTGGAACATTGAACAGCCCCTGCACACAGCTTTCAGCGCATAGGAGCACCTGTGCAGACTCGCACCCAAAAAACACTTACAAACATGTTTCTCAATATATAATCCGCCGACCCCGGCCGACGGCAAGGGGGAGCGCGTCAGGGCAGAGAGGTTGTAACAACACCAACACCAACACCAACACCAACAATAACAACAACAACAACACCTTCAGAGGCATGGTGTTTTCCGCCCGGGAGGAGGTGATTTTTTCGAAGCTGTTTTACTGCCGCACCCGCGGGCAACAGAAGCTGTCGAAAAATGTTGTTTTTCTAGAATTTCAGACGACACGTTAGGCAGTTTTTTGGCGTGGTTTTGGAACTAGCTCGTCCTTCAGAAGCATGGGGTTTTCCCCCGGGAGGTGAGTTGTTCGAAGCTGTTTAGCTGCAGCAGGCGCAGGCAAAAGCAGCCGCAGGCAACAGAAGCTGTCGAAAAATGTTGTTTTTCTAGGATTTCAGACGACACGTTAGGCAGTTTTTTGGCGTGGTTTTGGACCTAGCTCGTCCTTCAGAGGCAGGGTGTTTTCCCCCGGGAGGTGATTTTTTGTAGGGTTTCAGAAACAACATTAGGTACTTTTCCCGGTCACTTTTGGAGCGTTTTGGGCACGAAATTAGGTGGCGTTTCAGCGTTTCGAGTGGTGTCCATACACCAACACCAACAACAACAACAACAACAACAACAACAACAACAACAACAACAACAACAACAACAACACCTTCAGAGGCATGGTGTTTTCCGCCCGGGAGGAGGTGATTTTTTCGAAGCTGTTTTACTGCCGCACCCGCAGGCAACAGAAGCTGTCGAAAAATGTTGTTTTTCTAGAATTTCAGACGACACGTTAGGCAGTTTTTTGGCGTGGGTTTGGAACTAGCTCGTCCTTCAGAAGCATGGGGTTTTCCCCCGGGAGGTGAGTTGGCGTTTCAGCGTTTCGAGTGGTGTCCATACACCAACACCAACACCAACACCAACACCAACACCAACAACAACAACAACAACAACAACAAGAACAACAACAAGAACAACAACAACAACAAGAACAACAACAACAACACCTTCAGAGGCATGGTGTTTTCCGCCCGGGAGGAGGTGATTTTTTCGAAGCTGTTTTACTGCCGCACCCGCAGGCAACAGAAGCTGTCGAAAAATGTTGTTTTTCTAGAATTTCAGACGACACGTTAGGCAGTTTTTTGGCGTGGTTTTGGAACTAGCTCGTCCTTCAGAAGCATGGGGTTTCCCCCGGGAGGTGAGTTGTTCGAAGCTGTTTAGCTGCAGCAGGCGCAGGCAAAAGCAGCCGCAGGCAACAGAAGCTGTCGAAAAATGTTGTTTTTCTAGGATTTCAGACGACACGTTAGGCAGTTTTTTGGCGTGGTTTTGGACCTAGCTCGTCCTTCAGAGGCAGGGTGTTTTCCCCCGGGAGGTGATTTTTTGTAGGGTTTCAGGAACAACATTAGGTACTTTTCCCGGTCACTTTTGGAGCGTTTTGGGCACGAAATTAGGTGGCGTTTCAGCGTTTCGAGTGGTGTCCATACACCAACACCAACACTTTCAGCGTTTCGAGTGGTGTCCATACACCAACACCAACACCAACAACAACAACAACAACAACAACAACAAGAACAACAACAACAACAACAACACCTTCAGAGGCATGGTGTTTTTCCGCCCGGGAGGAGGTGATTTTTTCGAAGCTGTTTTACTGCCGCACCCGCAGGCAACAGAAGCTGTCGAAAAATGTTGTTTTTCTAGAATTTCAGACGACACGTTAGGCAGTTTTTTGGCGTGGTTTTGGAACTAGCTCGTCCTTCAGAGGCATGGGGTTTTCCCCCGGGAGGTGAGTTGTTCGAAGCTGTTTAGCTGCAGCAGGCGCAGGCAAAAGCAGCCGCAGGCAACAGAAGCTGTCGAAAAATGTTGTTTTTCTAGGATTTCAGACGACACGTTAGGCAGTTTTTTGGCGTGGTTTTGGACCTAGCTCGTCCTTCAGAGGCAGGGTGTTTTCCCCCGGGAGGTGATTTTTTCTAGGGTTTCAGAAACAACATTAGGTACTTTTCCCGGTCACTTTTGGAGCGTTTTGGGCACGAAATTAGGTGGCGTTTCAGCGTTTCGAGTGGTGTCCATGAGTCGAGCTGTTGCAGCTGACGTCAAAGCGACAGGACGCGACAAGACAGTTGTCACAAAGGCAGGCAAAAGATCTTTTTTTCTAGGCTTTGAGGGCAGGCAAAAGATCTTTTTTCTAGGGTTTTAGAAGCAACGTTAGGCACTTTTCCCGGTCCCTTTTGGAGCGTTTTTGGCATGAAATTAGGTGGCGTTTCAGCGTTTCGAGTGGTGTCCATGAGTCGAGCTCGGCAACGGCAGCAGCCTTCTAGTATGCTTCAGTTCCCTCATGTCTTCAGTTCTAGTAGGATTCCAGAAGTCAGCGGCAATGGCAGTAGCAGCGGCAGCAGCAAGTCCGCAGCAGCGGCAACGGCAGCAGCCTTCTAGTATCCTTCATCAGTTCCCTCAAGTCTTCACTTCAGTTCTAGTAGGATTCCAGAAGTCACGTTAGAGAGTTTTTTGGTGCGATCCTGTGGCCCGTTCGTCCTTCCGTGCCCTGCTGTTTTGGTGCCGGGAGGTGCTTTTGGTACACTTCTGTCAGCAGCAGCAGCAGTAAGAGCAGCGGCAGTGGCAGTAGCAGCGGCAGTAGCAAGTCCAGCAGCAGCAACAGCAGCAGCGGCAACGGCAGCAGCCTTCTAGTCTCCTTCATCAGTTCCCTCAAGTCTTCAGTTCTAGTCGGATTCCAGAAAGTCCAGCAGCAGCGGCAGTGGCAACGGCAGCAGCTTTCTAGTGTCCTTCATCAGTTAGTTCCCTCAGGTCTTCAGTTCTAGTAGGATTCCAGAAGTCACGTTAGAGAGTTTTTCGGTGCGATTCTGTAGCCTGTTCGTCCTTCCGTGCCCTGCTGTTTTGGTGCCGGGAGGTGCTTTTTGGTGGCAGCAGCCTAGTATCCATCAGTTCCCTCAGGTCTTCAGTTCTAGTAGGATTCCAGATGTCACGTTAGAGAGTTTTTCGGTGCGATTCTGTAGCCTGTTCGTCCTTCCGTGCCTTGCTGTTTTGGTGCCGGGAGGTGCTTTTGATACACTTCTGTCAGCGGCAGCACCAGCAGCAGCAGCAACGGCAGCAGCCGTCTAGTATCCTTCATCAGTTCCCTCAGGTCTTCAGTTCTAGTCGGATTCCAGAAGTCACGTTAGAGAGTTTTTCGGTGCGATTCTGTGGCCTGTTCGTCCTTCCGTGCCCTGCTGTTTTGGTGCCGGGAGGTGCTTTTGGTACACTTCTGTCAGCAGCAGCAGCAGTAAGAGCAGCGGCAGTGGCAGTAGCAGCAGGAGCAACGGCAGCAGCAAGTCCAGCAGCAGCAGCAGCGGTAACGGCAGCAGCCTAGTATCCATCAGTTCCCTCAGGTCTTCAGTTCTAGTAGGATTCCAGAAGTCACGTTAGAGAGTTTTTCGGTGCGATTCTGTGGCCTGTTCGTCTTTCCGTGCCCTGCTGTTTTGGTGCCGGGAGGTGCTTTTGGTACACTTTTGTCAGCGGCAGCAGCAGCAACGGCAGCAGCCGTCTAGTATCCTTCATCAGTTCCCTCAGGTCTTCAGTTCTAGTAGGATTCCAGAAGTCACGTTAGAGAGTTTTTCGGTGCGATTCTGTGGCCTGTTCGTCCTTCCGTGCCCTGCTGTTTTGGTGCCGGGAGGTGCTTTTGGTACACTTCTGTCAGCAGCAGCAGCAGCAGCAGCAGCAAGAGCAGCGGCAGTAGCAAGTCCAGCAGCAGCAGCAGTAGCAGCGGCAACGGCAGCAGCCTTCTAGTCTCCTTCATCAGTTCCCTCAGGTCTTCAGTTCTAGTAGGATTCCAGAAGTCACGTTAGAGAGTTTTTCGGTGCGATTCTGTGGCCTGGTCGTCCTTCCGTGCCTTGCTGTTTTGGTGCCGGGAGGTGCTTTTGGTACACTTCTGTTAGCGGCAGCACCAGCAGCAGCAGTAGCAGCAACGGCAGCAGCCGTCTAGTATCCTTCATCAGTTCCCTCAGGTCTTCAGTTCTAGTAGGATTCCAGAAGTCACGTTAGAGAGTTTTTCGGTGCGATTCTGTGGCCTGTTCGTCCTTCCGTGCCCTGCTATTTTGGTGCCGGGAGGTGCTTTTGGTACATTTCTGTCAGCAGCAGCAGCAGTAAGAGCAGCGGCAGTGGCAGTAGCAGCGGCAGTAGCAAGTCCAGCAGCAGCAGCAGTAGCAGCGGCAGCAGCCTTCATCAGTTCCCTCAGGTCTTCAGTTCTAGTAGGATTCCAGAAGTCACGTTAGAGAGTTTTTCGGTGCGATTCTGTGGCCTGTTCGTCCTTCCGTGCCCTGCTGTTTTGGTGCCGGGAGGTGCTTTTGGTATACTTCTGTCAGCAGTAGCAGCGGCAGCAGCAGCGCCAGCAGCAGCAGCAGGAGCATCGGCAGCAGCAAGTCCAGCAGCAGCAGCAGCGGCAACGGCAGCAGCCTAGTATCCATCAGTTCCCTCAGGTCTTCAGTTCTAGTAGGATTCCAGATGTCACGTTAGAGAGTTTTTCGGTGCGATTCTGTAGCCTGTTCGTCCTTCCGTGCCTTGCTGTTTTGGTGCCGGGAGGCGCTTTTGATACACTTCTGTCAGCGGTAGCACCAGCAGCAGCAGCAGCAACGGCAGCAGCCGTCTAGTATCCTTCATCAGTTCCCTCAGGTCTTCAGTTCTAGTAGGATTCCAGGAGTCACGTTAGAGAGTTTTTCGGTGCGATTCTGTGGCCTGTTCGTCCTTCCGTGCCCTGCTGTTTTGGTGCCGGGAGGTGCTTTTGGTATACTTCTGTCAGCAGTAGCAGCGGCAGCAGCAGCGCCAGCAGCAGCAGCAGGAGCAACGGCAGCAGCAAGTCCAGCAGCAGCAGCTGCGGCAACGGCAGCTGCCTTCTAACAGTTCCCTCAAGTCTTCAATTCTATAGTAGGATTCCAGAAGTCACGTTCGAAAGTATTTCGGTGCGATTCTGTAGCCTGT